AAAAAAAAAAAAAAAAAAAAAAAAAAAAAAAAAAAAAAAAAAAAAAAAAAAAAAAAAAAAACAAAAACAGAACAAAAAGCAAAAAACAGCAGCTTAAAACAACTGTTTTATGTGCTTATAATTCTGTGGGTCAGCATTTTGGGTTGGGCTCTGCTGGGCAGTTCTGCTGGTCCTGACTGGGGTCATTCATGTGGCTGCAGGCGTCTGGAGGTTTGACTGTGACTGGCTGGCCTCACTCGCATAGCTGGTGGTTGGAGCTGACTCCTGTCTGGGCCTTTCTCTCCACGTGGCCTCATCTACCCTCAGGGAGGCTAGCCCTGGCTTCTACGCATGGCCGCAGCAGTGTCCTAGGAAAGACTGGCAGGTGCATAAGGCCTAGGCTTGGATGGTCCACATTACTTATGCCGAATTTTATTGGTCAAAACAAAATGGGTGGAATCAGTTTGATTCCACCTTTGAAACAATGCAGAGGCTAGTGCAATGAGTCTCAAAGTAGGATCTAGGGATCCTTAGATGTCCCAAAGATTCTTAAAAAAAGGGACCGGTGAAGTTAAAACAATTTGTCACCTGAGTGCTGTGGCTAACGCCTGTAACCCCAGCACTTTTGGAGGCCGAGGCGGGTGGATCACAAGGTCAGGAGTTTGAGACCAGCCTGATACCCCCACATCTACTAAAAACACAAAAATTAGCTGGGCATGGTGGCACACGCCTGTAATCCTAGCTACTCAGGAGGCTGAGGCAGGATAATTGCTTGAACCCGGGAGGCGGATTGCAGTGAGCCAAGACTGCACCACCTCACTCCAGCCTGGGTGACAGCAAGATTCCGAATTAAAAAAAAAAAATTGTCATACTACTGTTAAGCCATCGTCCTTTTAAGTGTAGAATGGAGTTTTCCCAAGGTGTAATATATAATGTGATATTGCAAGAGACTGAATGCAGCAGATACTGTATGAGAATCTGTCTCCTATGAAGCCAAACATGGCAGACATTTACAGGAATGTAAAACCATTGTCCTTGCAATTTGTTTTGGAAAAATTTTTAGAGACAGGGTCTTGCTGTTGCCCAGGCTGGAGTGCAGTGGTACAATCATAGCTTACTGCAGACTTGAACTCCCAGGCTCAAGCCATCCCCTTGCCTCAGCCTCCCAAGTAGTCAGAACCACAGGTGCATACCATCAGGCTGGGCTTATATTTTTGTAGAGACAGGGTCTTGCTGTTGCCCAGGCTGATCTCAAACTCCTAGGCTCAGGCAACTCTCCTGCCTTAGCCTCCCAAAACACTGAGATTGTAAGTGTGAGCCACTGTCTGGCCCAAACTTGTTTTTAATAAGTTATTTATATAAACATGTCATTTAAAAATGTTTTAATAAATCTGTTTTAATATGGTGAATGTAAAGATGTAAATATCCCACGTAAACAAAATCTTCCAGATTTCTTGAGTCTTGCTTTGTCGCCCAAGCTGGAGTGCAGTGGTATGTCAGCTCATTGCAAACTCTGCCGCCCAGGTTCAAGCGATTCTCCTTCCTCAGCCTAATGAGTGGCTAGGATTATAGGCACCTGTCATCACTCCTCATTTTTTTCGTATTTTAGTAGAGATGGGGTTTCACCATGTTGGCCAGGCTGGTCTTGAATTCCTGACCTCAGGTGATCTGCCAGCTTTGGCCTCCCCAACTTGCTGGGATTACAGGGGTCAGCAACTGTGACCTTTTTTTTGGAGTGTCTGTCACCCTGGCTGGTGTGCAGTATAAATCACTGCAACCTGGATCTCCTAGGCTCAAGTCATCCTCTTGGCCCCCCTCCCAAAATGTGGGGGTCACAGGTGGAAGCCAGCGCACCCAGCCCATTTTTTCATCTATTGGCAGAAACCCAAGTTTGAGAACCCACTTATGAGAAGATGGGTACTCTCAAACATTATCAGAGTAAAGAATGTTTGGGACATCTGCCAAAATTAAGATGCACAAGTCTGGCAGTGTACAGTGGCATCTATCTATAATCCCCACACTCTGAGAGGCCTAAGTGAGAGGGTAGCTAGATCTCAGGAGTTGAACTAGCCGGGCAACAGGAATTGGGTATGTGGTAAATGTGCTCATGAACAGCCACTTCACCAGCCTGGGAAACAAAGCATGGCCTCATAATTATTGGAGAGGAGTTGAGAACTGGGCACATGGGGAAGAAATGGAAGTTTGTTGTCTGAGTAGTTGGTATTCTCTCATCCGTGTACAGTTTAGCACTGACTTCTTCAGGGATGAGTGGAAAAATGCTACTGCTTTAGATTGGTAGAGGGTAGGTGAAAAATTTATTAGCTAAGCATTAAAAACGAAATCTGAAGCCAAGAACACTGATGCAAAGCCAACAAACAAGCTCTCTTGTAGACACCACTCCCTTCCAAACCATTCTCTACAAAAGAAAACCACCAGGTGAGCTGGCATGGTCAAACCATACCTTCAGACAGATAAGAATTTTTTTTTTTTAAAACCAAAAATTTTCAAAAAACACACAAACAAAAGGTAATCAGTTATTTAATTAGATCATCAGGACATTTAAAATACCAATTTGTGAGGATAAATTCCATTTGTCAGGGCAAACACAGATCGCAGGTAGCCCTGGAGCTGAGGAATAGCTTTGATTTTTGGTAAAATTTGTGAGTCCACAGCTTTCTGATCAATCTTGCGCTGTTCTGTAATCTCGTATTTCTCTTTTTCTGTGTCGAAGATCTCACCTTCCTGGTGTCGAWGARGCTTTCGCAGCTTCTTCTTCTTGAAGTAAGCATSAGTAAGATGTTTTGGGATTTTTACATTGCTGATATCAATTTTGGYTGAGGTGGCAATGACAAATTTCTKGTGCGTTCTTYGYAGAGGAACTCGAYTGAGGACCAGAGGTCCAGTCACAAGTAATAAGCCACTAGCCAGCTGCTTCAGGAAAACCACCCTTTTGCCCCTGTGGCGTCCAGTGAGGATGATCAGAATGGTCCCGGGGGTGATGCTGGCTCGCAGTTTTCTCACGTGCTGACTGAAGGGTTTTTTGCCGTGGCTCAACAGCTTTCGAGGCACATCTTCAGTAGGATAATACCTAGGCTGGGGAGAGTCCATAGATCCAACTTATTTAAAATAAGCCATTCAGATTAGTAGAGGCAAGCTATGTCAGCCAAACTTTTGCTATAGCCTTTTAATTTATTTGAAAGCACAACACTGTATTCATACTATTCCATTTTTCTTTTTTTTTTTTTTTTGAGACGGAGTTTCGCTCGTTACCCAGGCTGGAGTGCAATGGCACGATCTTGGCTCACCGCAACCTCCGCCTCCTGGGTTCAGGCAATTCTCCTGCCTCAGCCGGGACTAC